TTGTAAATATGGACTTCAAAACTGTTTTGAAATGCAAAATGGTAGAAATTTAAACTTGCAATTGAAAAAAAAATCTTAATAATTTGATACTCGTGTATTACTATTGAAATTCAGTGAATCATTGCAATTTTAAAAATTTATCGTTTGACAGCCGTATCTGAAATATGTTATTTTATTTTTAATAAGTTATTTAATTTTTTTTCTCCACAACCATTGAGTAACCCCCAGATATTATCTTACAACCCCCTCTGGGTCATAGGTTTCTATTCCTATGCAGATGATACTCAGCTTTACATCTCCATTAAGCCTGGCACCATAATCAGCTGCTGAAGCTGGAAGAATGTGTATTAGAAATCAAACAATGGACGTCATCTGACTTCCTTTTAAATGCTGGTAAACGTAAATGTTAGTTCTAGCTCGCTGCACAGTTTCACAAAGCCCAAAATTCTGGTGTCCTATTTGAGTCAAATCTCTCCTCTGAAAATATATCAGTCTACCAAAGGTGGACTCCAATCAAGATGTAGAAACATCTTGGAGATAATCAAAACTAATGAAAGGCACCTGAGCTTAATATCAAGTGTCTAAGGTCTGATTACCTAAGTCAGTGTGACATTTGTTTTCCTTTTTAATGAGTTTGCAAAAAAAAAAAATCTAAAATCGTTTTTCACTTTGTCATTGGGTATTGAGTGTAGACTGATGAGGGGAAAAAATAATATTAATGATTTTATTGCAAGACTGCAACTGATCAAAATGGGTGAAAATGAAGATGTCTAAACACTTTCTTAAAGTGCTGTATGTGTTTTGTTTTCCCACTTGATCCAGGTGCGGATGAACACCACTTTTTATTTGCATACTGTATATTGCTGATGTTTTGCCTCACATTTGATATATTGTAAAGTATTTAAAATATTTTGTTTATAGTGCTTTAGTATTTTATTTCACTTTTACATTCTTATATATTGTGCCTTTTTATGTATAGCACTTTGAGACATGCTTTGTGGTATCAGGCTATAATTGACTCTTACTTGACTTGACCATGAGAGTCCATAGAATGTCCACTTGAGGCCGCTTGTAGACTTTGTGAAATGTGGATTTGGTCAATCTTTGGCCCTTGCAGACTTTTCTTCCTCAGACTGCAATGTCTAAGTCTGCAGGTTTGCTACTGCAATGAAGTGTGGACATTATGGATTCAGTCAAAATGCTACTTTATACTTTGAGTGCCAACCCGTTTAACTTTCGGTGGACATTGCTGATTTAGTTAGTTTTAGTGGAGCAGTTAAATAAGGGTGAGCATGGTGATCTTTCACTCTTACTGTTTCCTAGTCCTGCTCTGAGCTGCCTGAATGGGGACACTTTAAATAACTGAACATTGGCGTTTAAGTTACTGTGTGAAAGACCTTTATGTCCCTAATGTGACAAGAAGTGCAACACACTTGATGGCATTGTCCCATTAAGTGAAGAATAATCCCAAACACAGAGATCCCTCCACAGCCCCCCATCTGAAGATCTTTGACGACTGTAATCTAGCATTTAGCGTTTCTGCTAATCTCTTTGGATTACAGACTGTATAGATAAGTGATGCAAAGTGGTTCAAATCGCCTGTAAATCTTCCCTCCACTTTAGTTCTATCTATGCAGTGTGTGTGTATGCTGACTGGTGATGTGTGAGAGGGTCACATATAATACTGTTATACTTATGCAGAGGTCAGGGGTCATGGCAGAGATGGTAAAGAGATATGAAACATTTTAAAGTCCAGTTAAAGTAAAGCCGAATGAGGTGCAGTAAATAAAACACTGGCGCCTCCCATAGCTACAGTTCATGTACTGTAAAGGCATGAGGTGGTTCATGCAATATATAAAGAGAAAACCTGAGCATGACCTAACATGTATAAACATAGCCATCAAACAAAATATATCCCAAGAGCTGAAAGCTGTTAGTTTTAATAATAAATCTTTGCAACTGGTGCTGCCTAAATCCCCTATTTTCCATTAAAAACAACCCGTTAACAGAATTCAGATCTGTTTTTGGGTCGCTCGTCCCACTTCCTGTGGACTTGGGTAATGTTATGTGATCTCTCGTTCATACAGTGAAACAGCTGCCGATTCCTGGATTCCACACAGTCACACTGAGAAACTGGGCCAAATGTCACCACGGGTTCTCATGGAACTAAATAAAATTGGTGTCAACTATGCTTTTTAAAAATGTAAATCCCATTTAGGGGATGTTTAGGTCCCCGGAACTCACATTAATATTTCAGAGGGAGGAATTCACTTAGGCTCGAGGCTCTTTGTTGTCTTGGAATACAAATCAGATTGCTTGTTTGTCCAAGTGGCGTACTGTAGGCAGTAGGGGTGTAACACAAAGGTACTATCTGTATCTGTGGCGCTTTATTTCACAAAAGTATCTGTATTCAGATTTATAGCATAACTGGGCAGTTTTCCTCTTATACAATATGTACAATTTTAGCTGTTGATAAAATATACAAAGCCCAGCGATAGTCTGGCGACGTGTCCAGGGTGCACCCTGCCTCTTGCCCAGTGTCAGTAGGGAAAGGCTCCAGCCCCCCATGACCCCTAACAGGATAAGCGGTTACGGAAAATGAATGAATGAACAAAATATACTACATATATATGTATATATAGATATGTATATATAAAATTAAATAATTTAATTATTATTATTAATTATATTGAATAATAATATATGATAATGATATAATATTAGATAATATCTATCTATCTATCTATCTATCTATATAATTTTTAATATTCTTTTAATTTTTTTTATATCTTAAGTACTAGTGTTAAACAATGTAGCATAATAAACATTTTATTGATTTTATTTTTTATGCACATTTTCATTTCTATGTTATTTAATTGCTTTATCTTTACATACTTCTATTTCATAATCTTATTCTTAACTAGTCTTTTTTTTTTTTTTTAAAGATATTTTTTTGGGCAGTTTTGCCTTTAATTGATAGGAAAGTCAGGTGTGAAAGGGGGGAGAGAGAGAGAGAGAGGGAATGACATGCAGCAAAGGGCCACAGGCTGGAGTCAAACCCAAGCCGCTGCGGCAACAGCCTTGTACATGGGGCATCTGCTCTATCCACTAAGCCACCGACGCCCCATAACTCTCTATTCTTTACATCAGAGCAACTGTAATGATTCACAATTTCCCCTCAGGGCTCAATAATGTATTTCTGATTTTGATACACAATATTTGAACTATGTATCTAAATTTTATCAGTTAATAAAGAACTGTATCTTAACCCAGCCTCCAAACAAACAAAGAAGTAAATCTAAACTAAACTAATGTAAACTACTGTCTGGCTATGTCAGTAATTTAAAAACAGAATTCCGTCAACAAAATTATAATGAATTAAAGGCAAATATATAAACAATAAAACCAACAGACCTAAATTAAAATGTTTCTTTTTTGGACATTAGAGCATGAACATGTCCTTCAGATAACAAGTGACATCATTATGTCACTCTCTCACCTCTCTTTTGAGGACACTACCACACTACTCAGTCAATTAATCAACTTCACTACTGAAAAGCTACTTGTCTCAGAAAGTAGTGACGTTACCACCACACCACTGAGAAATGTAGTTAGCAACGTCGCTACTTGTAGTGATGCTGCTGCTCAACACTGTGAGGCAGATAATCTGTGAAAAAATCCTATTCCTCTGCTCTCTTGAACTGCTTCTAATGGCCTCACCACACATGAGAGAAAACTGCCAATCAGAGCTGAGGAGTCTCTAACACAGCTGCCAGTCATGTCAGTCACTGCTTGTGAACTGCAGTCAAACTACACAGCACTGATCAAATATCAATCAAGATTCAGTTACTATATTGCCTATTTCTTGCCTTAAATGTGTTAAGGAGCATGTTTTAATGTACTCTTTAGCTGTAAAATGAAATGGTTTGCTGTGGCTGGTGGGTGGTGCTTGGTGCTTTATTCAGTTGTTTTTAACATGGCAGCTGGGTCACAAACCTTGTCACTCTACAACTAAATCAGGATGATCATGGAACATGTCTGCTTGTATTTATAAGCTTTAATTATTTAATTTTTTTAACTGTAGAAAATACTGTTATACTCTGCTACAGTCATTCTGTGGAAAACTGAATATGCTAACCAAACAGAGCAGACTGGGCTTTTTCAGGAGGGGGGGCTTAAAGACTCAGACACTAAACAAAGCCTTTTCAGACAGAGGGTGAATACAGGTGTTCCAGCACAGAAAGATTGAGGGAGTGTTTCTTTAACACTGAAGCATGTTCTAGTAGAAATGCAAAATACAGGTATGAACCTGTAAATGATCATAACAGGTCCTCTTTAATGTAAAAATATTATGAGTTATTGGCTTCAGCTAGGAGGTGAAAATGCAGGAGGGTAGAGAAGCCAGAGGACGATGGTTAAGTTTTTGACAGTTGAAATATGAGCAATTCAAAAGTGCAACTCAATATCAAATAGGCTAACCTAAAATATTGTAAATCATGAAAATTCATAAAGTGCCACCCACCTGTAAGCTGCAGTCAGTTATAGTGCAAAGAACCTGGGTGTCTAAAACAGTGGTTCCCAACTGGTCCAGCCACAAGGTCCAGATTTCTCATTAGTTCAAAGTCCGCTCAGCATCATACTTTAGTTTAGCCATGTGATCAAGCTAATTTGTTGTCTCTGTTAAGTAGCTGTCTGTTATTCACTCACTCAAAATGAATCTTGTGCTGCAAATTCACTGTACTTCAAAAATAAAGTGTGTTTAAAAAAAAAAAAAAAAAAAAACTTGACACATTTGCGAGTCACTTGCGGTCCATTCAAAATGGACCCATGACCCACTTTTGGACTGCAACCCACCAGTTGTGAACCACTGGTCTAAAACACTCAACTGAACTGAGCGGAGGAAGCAACTGCTAAAAGTGAGATAGTTCTCTCATAAAACAGCTCGGCAGCACCTCCTGCAGTGTCATTACAAATGCTCATGATATATTTTTGTTTTGCAGGGCCTGCAATCCCTGTTGGAGTGGACGTTCAGGTGGAGAGCTTGGACAGCATCTCTGAGGTGGACATGGTAAGAAAATCTGTGTTAATCCACACCTGTTTATAATGTCACAGATTATCAATTTTGCAGAGTGACCAGTTACATGTTACTGAGTAATGTGATTCAGTTACAAAATAAATGTAATTGTAATCTGCTACAGTTACTGAGAAATAATATGTAATTAAATTACAAATCAAATGGTCTGAATATATTCTTTAGGGTTAAAAGTTTATATGAAGAATACACATCATATTCATTCTGTTGCTTTTGCATCTTTTTGCCACGCAGGAATGACCTCCTTTAGTAATAATAACATTTATAGCACAATTTAAAAAAAACAGTTAGAACCTGATTTAAGAAAGAAAAATAATATTTAAAAAAAAATCAATAGAAGAAACTTAAAAAACTCCCAGGTGGCTTAGTTGACTGATTAATATTTAGATATCACAGAAGTACTTGAGTTTGAGTTTAGGTCCTTTATGTGATTTATCCTGGCTTTATGAGTAGAGAAAAACTCCACTGGCTGCTAGGCTAATCTAAACAATGTAAAATATCATACTTTTGGGCTAATAACATTAGCATGTTGTATTTGTGGGAAAAAATGTGTCAAGCAAAAGTCAGGTGTTTTGTCTATGAATCTGGTGAGTTATAATAAAGCCAATTTCTGTACTTGGATTTGAAGGTGTCGCTATTAAGCCAAGTTTTCTATGTGTTTTAGGTGTGTTTTGAATCAATCAAACTGTACAGCACTTCACTGAAACCTCCCCATCGACTAGTGTTTTGGAGGTATAACTGCAGAACAACACAGACACACCACTACACAAGTATATCATGTATAAGGTATACAGGACCTGTACAATCAGAGAAAGCACCTAAACTGGAACTAAAAATTGCAAATATTGTCATTTTAAGCTGGGATCACTGGACATCAGTTAATAATCAAAATTATTTTAGGGTAACTGTGTTTTCTCATCTGGAACAGTGCAATCCTTTAAAAAAAATAACCTCTAAGGCATTGCTTCAAGACCTTAGTGTTGTAGTAATGCAGCACTGATTTGAAAGCAATAAATCTGAGAGGCAAGATCATAAAGCCAGTTTTTTTGCACTCATTTGATTCGCAATCAAGACACTCTGGTAAGAATTGCTGTACGTTGGTAATATGGAGTTCAAAACTGTTTGGGAATGCAAAGTAATGGAATTTAAACAAGCACTTCAACTTGCAATTAATTGTGATTAACTATTGAAATTCAGCAATTAATTGTGTTTTAAAAAATGATCATTTGAAATGTTAGTATACCAAATGTCATATAAACTGTATAAAAACGAATAATAAATAATAAGTTTACAGAAGGTTTTTTACGCTTCCAATCTTTTGGTATTATTTGAACATGTTAACTACAGTGTGTTTGCATTGGGCTGTGACCACTGCCAAAAAGTAAGTGGCCTACACACTGTGTCTGAACACATCCTGTGTCGACCCAGACAGAGAAGCTGCTGCTGCTCTAATAATGTGCTACTTTTGCCACGCCTGCTGTGTAGACATTATGTTAAACCTAGCCATGGGAACAGCCAGCAGGTCTGAGGATCTCTGTGTGCAGCTCGATAAGAGAGAGTAAGTTATCTGGGGCTATTAAGTGTTTATAAGTGAAGAGTACAATGTGAAAATCAGGTCTATAACTGCCATCTGGTGTAAAGTCAAGGGCAAGTAATAGGTTCCTGGTCCTCGTGTCCAGATGGTGTATTCTGTACAATTATTTATGCCTGTTAAAAGTTACAGTGAAGAAAAATAAGCATTTATGATTAAACAATAGAATTAGTGTAAGTGCACAGTTGAAAAGTTGAAGGGACTCTGACAGTAATCCTTGGATGTAGGTACAAGATTGGATGATCTTACGAATGTGTAAGTCAAGTTGAAGCTGGAATCACGTCATGGTTTGGTCCTGGGTTTCTGACAGAATGCTGAATATGTTGGACAGGATTTGTGTGTGCACTGTGCAGGTAGTTAGGGCCAATGGTAAACATTATTGTTTAATCTTTTGGATGGGTGAAAATTGCAAGTCAGTGTAAAACAAGAGTCAGGACTGTGCACTGCAGTGCTCTCCAAGGTGCTGATCCTGCTGGTGGGAGCAGGTGGGGAACTATCCACAGCGCTCCCTTTCGCCCCCATTCACAACAGTGGGCTGACAAGAAGTTAAGGTTAAGTTCTGCATGTTGGGACAGTTTGATGGTCGCAGTGATTTAGTTAGTAAGCATTGTTGGCTGTAGTGTTTTTTGTTTTAGTTTGTTTTTTGCTAGAAATGTTGAATGACGATCAAACGTAATATGCATATGCAAACAGTCATCTTTAGTCCCACACGATGTCTGAAGCAATAGGGGGCAAATTGATCTCTAGATCATGGCCCTGTTTCAGGAAGCAGATTTAGTGAAAACTCTGAGATGAGGGAAATTCTGGGTTTTCAGTTCCAGAAAGATAGGTAACTTAAACTCTGGGTCAGTGACTGTGATATCTGACTCTGCGACCCTAACCTGTTGCCAGCAGGTTTTCCTCAGCAAACCCTGAGTTTGTCTTTGTCTCCTCCCTCTGACAGAACCAAAAACTCTCATTCACTTCCTCATTTATGCAGTACGTGTCAAAACACACATCAGAGTGCATTAATTATGCGCGTCAGTCATTTTTTTGAACAGCAGATTTTGCCCTCACATTAAAATATCACACAGCATCAAATCACTGCTAATCACATACACAGACATCTGCATATGTATGCTTTATCGTTGTCAGACGATAGCCGATAGGTTCCAAGATTGAGTCACTCCCAGCTCAGAATAAAACCTTGGCATGTGGCTTTTGGCAGGTGGTAGTGGTAGTTCCTATGGTGTTGGAGACTATATGTTACTAATTATGATGAGCAGAACTGTGGAGCAGCTGCAAAATGAAATTTAGGTTTTTAATCAGGCTATGTCTAGTCTAAACATACGTCTAACAGAATTTCAATGGCTGTTTAGATAGATAGATAGATAGATAGATAGATGTGGAAGTTCTGCCTTTTAATTACCTGTTGCCATGGTGAATCGTAGTATTGGAGCTCCATTTATGATGGTTTTTTTCATTGACCGCAGACAAGCTTAACTCAGAGTAAACATACTCAAGAGTTTATTGAACTGACTTTGATCAGCTGTTCTGAAACTCAGAATTCAAAGTTTTCTATCTCAGGGTTCATTAACTGAGAGTTCAGGGTTACACTCACAGTTTGTTAACCCTGCTTTCTGAAACAGGCCCTTGGAGATACAATGGTGAATAAATTTCAGTTCATTCCATTCTCTACCTTGAAGTAACTTTAACTCCATGTAACTAACAAAGACAACATTTTTTTTGCAAGTCAAATGGTTCTCTGTAGTCTATGAGCCTGAAGATGTACAGGAACGTGAAGTTTTAAATAGCTGGAATTAGTTTTTGTCTCTTGAGAAATTGTCGGACAAGTAACTGCTCATGACATGAGGTAAGTAGGAAGGGAAATGGGAAAGTGAGGAAGTCTAATTAAATGTTGACAACCGAGGACCAAAAGCAGTTATAGAGTGGCCAGTTTTTCCCAACTGATGGGGTTTTTGATGGTCGACACTACAGCCAGATTTCCCTGGTTGTTCAGCTGCTGGCAGTCCTGTCCCTACTGTGTGGATGCATGTGTGCTGTTACTTACAGTAGTTTCTTAGACCCCATGGTCAATTCTTACATTTGGTTTCTCAGCTTGTTCCATAGGTTATCTGCTTTTGGCTGGTTCATAGCTTGTTACTGGATAATTATTTGGTCTTGATCAGCCACCAGTAGTCACCAGTAGCAGATAAGATAAGATAAGATAAGATAAGATAAGATGCCTTTATTGTCACTATATACAGTGATACAGTGAAATTTCAAGTGTCCTCACAGTAACAACAGTAACAGTAACTTAAGATTTTACATACATTACGTGAACAGCCCTCTGAGGCAAATTGTTATCTGTGATGTTGGGCTTTATAAATAAAATTGAATTGATTTGAACTGAATATATGAACTTACTTTGTCGCCTGGAAACCAAACAACAAAAACCCCGCTGCCTGAGATCCTCCAACAAGGCCTGACTATTGATTCCAAAATCTCAACTTGTGACTAAAAGGTGACAGAGCTTTTGCTCTTTTGGCCCCTCAGCTGTGGAACCCAGTGACCTCTTTCAAATTTCTTCCTAAGACTCACTTTTATTATTTGGCTTTTTCTTAACTGAATGTATTTATTGTCACTTTTTTATATTATTTTATCCTGTTTTATATTTCGCACGTTTTTTTTAGCTTTATTATTGTTTTTGTTGTAAAGCAATTTGTTTTGAAAAATGCCATATAAATATTGTTAAAAAAAAAAAAAAAAGTATAACGTGAATATGATGTACCTGTGGTTTGCCGTAACCTACAATGCCAACATTTTTTCTAGTGATTGAGTTGTATTGACAGATGCTACTTATAGTGGCTTGAATTACAGTTTATATCAAACTTTCCATAGCCTTTACATATATTATACATCTAATGTTCAACACGTTATATTGTCATAATCTCTAAGCAAGAAATAGGGAGCAGAAATGGGTAGTGTCCCCGACTCTGGTGTAGGCTAAACCCTATGTTCCAATTATTGATTCCAACACTCCACGTGTAAGTCTACAGTTTAATATGTTAAGTTAATACTGTGAATCCCAATTCGCTCATTCAACTTAAAAAATATTTCGAAACAGCTTGCACTCAAAATTTTTAGTTTAGTACAACGCAGTAACATAAAAGTTTTGAGCTCACCAGAAAATAAATAAATGTGTCATAATATGACCCTTGTCTGACAGGAATCTTATGTCAGTTTAATGTCCCTGTTTTGTTGTTGTTGTTGTGTGAGCATTTGATTTGTCATATAAACACAAAAATATTGAGTCTTTTTTTTTTTTTAATAAAAAACTAGATTGTGGTGAGCTTAGGTTTCTTGATTGCAAGAATAAGGCAAAGAGATCATTTCTGAACCAGTAAATGCTCTTTATTTCACCTCAGCACAACTTTATGTGAGACACTCTAATATCCTCGGAGGTGGGAGGTCACTAACTGTATATACCACTTTACTCATGGTACACAATGGGCTCTAGTTTCCCGGCGCAGCGCAGGGTGGCGAACCCCTGGGTGGCGAAACTACCAAACTGAGCGCGCCTCGGGCTGCGCTGCTCAAAACTAGCTCTGCGCGGGGTTTGCCACCCTGCGCCGCGCCAGGAAACTAGAGCCCATTGTCTCACGGCATGCTGGGAAACTCCACCTATTTAGCCCCAACACATAATATGTGCGGTGCACAATGACAGTGCTTTTTATTGGCCTTAAACTAATTAGACAAAGTTGGCTTTATAAATTTTAGTCAAATGAACTCAAAACTCAAAAATTGTTAAAAATAACTTTAAAAACACTGATAAGGTTTTTTTTTTTATGTCAACTAAACATAAAGTTTTTATGTCATTTTGACAGTCTGGGGCATTTGTGTAAACTTCACATTAAAATTTTGTGTCATGGAAGGATTGGGGTTTACAGTTTGGGTGACTGATGGCACAGTAATCATAAGTATGCTCTAATTAATGGAGACCAATAGCTACCAAGGAGGGAAAAGGACGGAAGCAAAGCAGTTCCAGATGGTATGGCTTGGTAAATAATCAGCAAGTATGTCAGTTGTACATGACATCTGCTGTGGTCCTTTACAGTGAGACTGTATAACATTTGATAGAAGTAAAGACACATTTTAAACATGAATATATAAGCAATAAGCCACACATTTGTTCAGTTGAATACACTCAGTTTTGCTGCCACTGTCTTGTTTGGTTTCTTTTGAACAGTAGTTTATGGCAGCCAGTGTTTGCTAAATATAGAGAGATACTGATTCTTGACCCTGATCTTGTGCTACTGTTACACTACATTCTAGCAGGTCACAGATCACAAATGTCACAAACATTTCAGTGGTTTTATCTGAAATGTGGTTTTATCACATTCTTACTGAATTAAAGTGAAAGGGGACCATGTTTCCCAACAGCATGGACCTGTGCTAGAAAAATAACATTCTCTCCACACATTTAATGAAACACGAAGTGAGTAATTGATATATAAATGGTCATTCTGCAGGTGAAGTATTCTTTGAAGTCATTGGTTTTGACAAAATTCTACCACGCTCAGGTACTAAAAACGTAATGTTTTATGGGTTTAACATCATCCTCCCTTTCTTTAATTCCACCAGGACTTCACCATGACTCTGTATCTGAGGCACTACTGGAAGGATGAGCGCCTGTCGTTCACCAGCAGCACCAACAAGAGCATGACGTTTGATGGTCGTCTGGTGAAGAAGATCTGGGTGCCTGATGTCTTCTTTGTCCACTCAAAGAGGTCCTTCATCCATGACACCACCACTGATAACATCATGCTGCGTGTCTTTCCTGATGGACATGTCCTCTACAGCTTGAGGTCTGTAGCATTTCAGCATCTGACCTATTGACATGTATTTTTGTGACTGTCCTCCAAAAATTGACACTATAGGTTGTATAAGCAGCAATTATAACCTATATTTAGGTTTATTGTAAGGCAGTGACCTCTAGTGGCCTTTTATGATGGGAACAATGGAGTATAAAGAGCAAGAAAATCCACTTAAGACAGAGGGGCAGGGAGGTGGATGGGTCAAACAAACACAGGACTTTCATCCAGGAGACCAATCATTATGCTTTGTGAAACCAAAAGTCAGTGATGAGTTTTACCACTGTAATATAGTTTGTGGTCGTATGTCATGTGACACACGTGACGTATGACATACACTGGGACGTATTAAACAGTAGGAACATCTGACCTATGTGGTCGTATGGGTTGGTGGCTTGTTGGTAGTTTCAAAGCCATGTTGATCTGCCTCACAGGATCTCTCCTTCACAGCAGAAATGTAGACCTTGGACAGTTGTCATAGCAGTAAAAGCACAGGTGTACTTTCACAGAGTAAGAAAATACTTTTTTTTCCTGGAATGAACATGGACACTGACCAACAAGTCACCTGTGGAGCCAGCCTGCTAGCTCTCTGCTGGTCTTACCTGGCCAGTGGTTTTACATATGTTCAAAAACAGCAGATTTTTTCAATTAACTATTATTACCTCCGCCAAGGAGGTTATGGTTTCGCTGGTGTTGGTCTGTTTGTCTGCAAAATAACTCAAAAAGTTTTGAACGGATTTTGATGAAATTTTCAGGAAAGGTTGATAATGGGACAAGGAACAAATGATGACAATTTTGGTGGTGATCGGTTGAAGCGAAGTGGATAAAATAATAAAATGGCAGGAAATCCGAGCTGCTTTGCAGAGGTCTGTGCTCTCCGAGTGCTCTAGTTTTGATAATGTTATGACTGACTCGAGAAGGGAGACATGTAGAACCTGATAATGACATACAGGACTGCAATGTGTTTTAGCTCCACCATTCGGTATCAGATCAGTGTGCTAGGTACTCCAACAGAGGGGTAATGAAAAATGGGGATGGTAAGCAAGGGTGATTGCTCTGGGACAACAAGAGAGGCTGAACTTCCCTTAAAAATTCATAGAAGAAATGGTCAAATATGCACTATTGAATTTACATTAAAACAAGAATTTACATTGCATTAAACGTGTGCTAGGATGCCTTTAACATCATTACTATGATGTTCAAACGTCAGCTGTTTATCAGCAGTTTTCAAACGTGACCTCCCTGTCATACATTCTCATGTCAGCACGGTGGACGCAGAGCCTCTAAGCATTCCTATGAGAGTGCTGAGCAGGTTTTTTTCACGCAGCAAAACAAGACGGTCATTGGATAAATGTGACAAAACTGTCACTTCCAGGGAGGCTCAGCTTTCCTGGGACCTAATGGAGCGGTAGGCAGGAGAGGACGCTCAGTGTATGCATGATGATTGGGGGAATTGTCTAAAAAGCTGAACCCCTTTGTGATTGACAGCGCTTTTGAAATACACACCGGCATCATCGCATTTTGAGCTCAGTCCCATGCAGATATTTGCGAGTAGAGTCTTCTGACAGAGTGCCGTCCGGAGTTCCTTATTTCCATAAGCCATAAAACTCATTTTCACCACAGTTCAGGTGTTTAAACCCATCTGAATCTTTGAGGTGTGTTTTGCTGTGGTTCTATGGCATGAGTGTGGTTGAAAAACAGCTTCAACATTAAATGTTCCTTTTATAAGTTACTGCCTCGTTAACGTTACAATATGACAAATTTTATGATGTAAACTTAAAGTGAGCTTCCCCTGTTTAAAAGACCAGCAGCCGCCACTGATAGTAAGGGATGGTTTTGTTGATGCTATCCACAACTTTTCACAATGGAAATGCAAAAATAACAATTCTTATGTATCCCAAACTGTACTGAACTGGACTGCTTGGTGAAAACAAGGCTTTAGGACCACTGGCCAGGGGTCCGTTTCACAAAGCAGGTTTAGTGAAAACTCTGAGTCTGTTAATCCTGAAATGAGGGAAACTCTGGGTTTTCCGTTTCAGAAAGGGAGGTAACTTAAAGGGAAATTTCGGTTTATTTCAACCTCTCTCCTATCATCCTAAATTTGTTTCACGTGACTAGTGACATAAAAATAATAAAAAATCTGGAAACTAAATTTGGTTAATTCTTAAACACTTGTGTGGTTTATGAAAAAAGTACTAGAGGAACTGAGAGGGAAGTGGCTTACCAAAATGGACTGTAGACCTGATAACTGATATTCATTGCCCCTTTATTTTTTACTATATCAGCCTATGTTAGCCACAAAAAGAACTGATTGCACTTCCCTCAAGAAAAACAATATTGTGACTACTTTGCTTTCTGACCAGTTTACACTCTGCAAGTGGACCATTGTGTTGAGAATATTATGTCACACAAATATGTACACTATATATTTTTTGATGTATTGTATTGTTTAACATCAGGCAACCATTGGTCTCCATTCATTTTTGAGCTTTATAAAACAGTCAGTTACATTATTGCATGGTAATGGAGTGTTCAGATTGATGTGAAAAGTCTGAACTACATTACCTTACAACAATAATATTCCTTTGACAAGAAATAATACAGGCAATGGATTACATAACTGCAGAATCCACTAATGGTTTTCATACCTCATGGAAATGCATGAAAAATCCAAGTCTTCATTGAGGCCTTATTATCTTGTCCTGTTGAATAATGAGGAGGGTCACTCTGCCTGAAAGAGCTGCTAACCCTAAAATAATTTCTATCATCTACTCATCATCTTCTATCAGCTACTTCTTACATCTCATGAATAATATTCTAAAGAAAAACACTTAATACTTGTCATTTCTAATCATTAAAATGGTTTCATTTGAGACCAATGTTGACATGAAATCATATTTGCCACAGACTGATGGCCCTGTTTTCATGCTGGCACAAATTAAGTGCAGGGACCTTGTGTCTGTGAAAAAGCAATTTCATTGGGAAAGGTTTGTGAGAAAACTGTTTCCCACCTACAAGAGCACCTGGTAATTTAGTGGCTAGAGGAGAGTGTCAGTACAGATCAGGTGGTCCAATGCAATTTTGGTTTCCAAAGATGTGTTTGCTAAACCAGAGCTGAGTGAGTCACTTACAGGCATTACTTTAATTATTTATTGTTGCAGCTGACCAAGATGCAACGATGTAGAGACATCTTCAAAGAAAAACAAAAACTCTTTTATGTGTATGTTATGGCCGCCTGTTTTACTCTTGTGTAACATCTTCTATTAGACATATTTTCATGTCTCCATGCCAGTGATAGCCATTGCTGGAGGCATTATGTTACTGGGTTGTCTGTACGTTCCATTCTCGTGCATGCAATATCTCAAGAATGCCTTGAGGGAGTTTCTTCAAATTGAGCACAAACGTCCACTTAGATGCAACAATGAATTGCTTAGATTTTGGTGGTCATAGCTCAAAGGTCAAGGTCACTGTGACCTCATTTGTCTCATTCTTGTGAGAGCAATATCTCAAGAACTCCTTGAAGGAATTTCTAAAGATTTGGCAAAAATTTTCACTTGAACTCAACAATGAACTGGTTATATTTTGTAGGTCATAGTGAATGTTCACTCTGACCTTGCATCCATCTCGTTTTCATGAACGTGATATCTAAAGAACATGTCGAGGGAATTTCCTCAGATTTGGCACAAACGTCCACTTTGACTCAAGAATAAAGTCATTAGAATTTGGAGGTTGAGGGTCAAATGTCAAGTTCATTGTAATTATGGTGAACTTTCACACAAATGTCTGATAGGATACAATAATATTTTATATCTAAAAGCATTCATGTTTTCATAGGCAACTGTGCCAGTTGACCGGTTCAGGAGGCATTATTTTGATATTAAGGAATTTACTTCTTATTGTTAGAATTATCATATTATTTTTAACATCTTGTAAGAGAACTATGCTCTTTGGTTTATACAGCTCAAAATACAAAATTCTTCAACCTGTATTACTATTTTTTTTTGGGGAGGGGGGGGGTGTTCAGTAGAACATTGTTAAATGTTCAACAAAGTATGTCCTTATAAAGCTGTTATAGCTATGTTGTACAGTTGCCTACAACATTATCATTTATTTGGAGTCATGTTTGTGTTAGCTGTCCTTTTAGCTCTGTTCTCCTATCTGTCTCTAAATCCTCCATTATGTTCCCCAGCTAGTCTCTAACTGTGTCTGTCTGCTGTTTGCTGCTGAGCAGGTAGTACAGTGGGTTCATCTGAGCATTTTCACAGAAAACAGCTGCCTACTGCAACTTGAAATGGGGTTAATGGGAGCAGTGAGACTGAACTAAATAGTTAAGTTGTTGAGACCAAAACAATGACGTCAAAGAGGCTAAAAAGCTCCTGAGAGTTGAGGGGAACTGTAGAGATAGTGATAATTCTCTGTGGGCTCACTACAATAAATGACACATCATACACACATTACACATTTATTTTACTGATTGTTAGTGTAAAAGAGTATTTCACAGATTTAGTACTATACTCCTGTAACACTGTCAGACTCACAGTGGACAATTTTTTTTTCTTTTTGTAACTGTCAAAACTGATGCAACAGAAGCAGGAAAATTGTTTTATTCCACACTTTCCTCTTACATGTTAATCTAGGGCCTACATAAGCCACAATTCAATCTGACTGCCAAGAGTTTGATTTGTGATTGTGTGTGTATCAATTTTGTTGTACTCGTACAATGACAATAAAGAGATTCTGATTCTGATTCTGCAAGGCTAGAAGAGGCTAATGTAGCCTGGAGCCACTAGCCTGAAGCAGGGGTGTGAAATGGGCTACAGAGGTCTGTAAGCTCACTTCTTTTTAATGCCACACCTTAAGATTTTTTTTTTTACCTTTACAACTCACAACCAATTGAATACCCCTCCACTCAACCCTTCCTTTCCTAGCATTTCAGGAACGTTCAGGTGACCTTCAGTGACTGTAAAAACATGAAAGGCCCTCTCTAAAGCCAG